CCTTCCAACCCAAACCATCCTGTGACTGTAAGATCAGCTCCCACCTCAGCTCTGACCCCACCGGTGCTGACGTCCCTTTCTGCTTTCAAGCCTGTTGCTAGCCCTGAGTGCAGAATATTGCTGGAGGGCTTGTGTGGGGCATGCGTTGAGGTGTGCAGCAGCTCCTAAGGATACAGAACCAGCAGAAAACCTCTGTCTGCTGAACTCCGACCACACCAGCCATCGGCCGGCTCGAGCGCCGGCTGCAGACCCTGCCACGGGGCCAGATTTGCTACAGCCTCCGGCATGGAGCGTTGGGCCAGTTGTCTGTCCTCATTGTGTCACGCAGCTTTTGCTGAGCACACAAGGAGCCACGTCCATGGCTGGGACGGTGTTCGCAGCAGTTGACTCCAAACAACCGGACAAGGCAGTGACAGGGTTGATGCATGTGTGGTGTGAGTGTCCTGCAGAAACACCGAGGCTGCAGCCTCACCTCCTCCTGTCTCTCCTGTTCCACCCAGGGGACCACAGCGATCTGACCATCGCTTTGTGGAACACCTACACCTACGAGCTCATGGTGTCGACCTGTATCTCGGAGCCAGTCCACGACATGGCTTTTAGCCCTCATTCGCCCAGAGAGCTGGCCTGCGTGGGGAAGGGAGCCGTGCTGTTCTGGCGCCTGGAGCAGCAGGGACCTGATGTCAACCTCAAGGTACACCTTGGTTTTCCCTTCTTTTAAAATTTCTGTCTAGCATCTCTGACTTCTTTTCCAAGCCCCTGGTGAGTGCGATGGAGGCTCTGCCCCCACAGTCTGTGAGAGCTGATGGTTTATTTTAGTGAGATGATGTTGGCTGGCTGTGAATGGCTTTCGGTTGTATTTGAGGTGTTGAGGGTAGGAGGAGGTGGGGGTTTTTTCCCCAATGTAGGTCAGCACCATATTCTTTGCCGTTTCTGTTTTCTGTGCACCGGCAGGTTCATCGGGCCCCTGCCCCGGACGTGTTGGGGCCAGTGGAGCTGACCTCCCTCTGTTACAGTGCTGATGCTCTTCTTTACGGTGGGACCAACTCAGGGCAGATCTGCGTGTGGGACACTGAGACCAGCTGCTGCTTCATGACATGGGAGGCCGACGAGGGCGAGATCGGTGGGTGCAGACGCCCCGGGTGGCTGTTGGGGCTGGAACAGGGAATTTGTGAGGAAAGAAGAGCAATGAGGTTGCAGACCTCCAATTTCAGCAATGTTTGGAAAACCAGTTTGCTGTGTCGGATGCAAGATGCGCGGGGTGGCAATGGATCTGCAACCTGGGTTTCCTGGGGGATCACCTCTAGTCTGTAAAAACACTGGGTATTGGGGTGTAAAAAACCCCTGCTGCCCTGCCAGAGTGACTCGGTGGCCTGGCTGTCCGGAGCACACCTCGGGTGATGGATATTCACAGATCCCCTCGTTCCCAGGTGTGCTGGTGTGTCGGCGGAACCAGCTGGTGAGTGGCAGCAACACGAAACGCATCCGCCTGTGGGCTGTGGCCGCTGTGCAGGAGCTGAGGCTGAAGGGTCCCGACGCCAGGTAGGAGATCGTGGCCCCAGCGTCTCTGCTGTGCTCACACCCGTCTTGAGAACACTCTGCTCTTGAGATGCTCTTCACCTCCTCTGGCAGCCCCCAGGACCTGTCTGAGAGGTGGCTTTTCACAGGCAGACATCAGCTCTGCCTGCAGCTGCGCTGCTCCTGTTGCTCTTCATCCTCAGCTATTCCTCTCCATCTTTCCTGGATCTTTTTACAGAATTTTTGCCACAGGCAGCTGAACCCTCTTAATACTGGAAATGGGTGGAGTGTAACATGCCTGAAGTTTGTGTTGGTGATTTGTAGGAACTCATTGAAGAGAATCAGTGAAAATACATTGCCTTTGTTTCTTCTCTTGCACTACAGCATCCCATATTTTCTTTCTTTCCTATAAAGGATGGTTGCAGTGCACATGCAGTGGTAGTCACTGTACAGGAGCCCCTCACTGAACCATTTAGCTGCAAACATATAACAGGGATCACTAGAAAACTGCATTTGAAGGAGGCAGAGTGGCTGTTCCAACATTTGAGCCAGTCCTTGCATCCTCCTTTCCTCCAGCTCCAGCTCCGTCCTGCTGGAACATGAGATCACGCTCGATGGGACGATAGTCAGCGCAGCCTTTGATGACTCTCTGGAAATGGGAATTGTGGGCACCACGGCAGGGACCCTGTGGTACATCAACTGGCCGGAGAGCACAAGCATCCGACTCATCAGCGGCCACAAGAACAAGGTCAGAGGGGCGGGACGGGGTGGTTCGTCCTGCAGAGCAGCGAGTCTGTGCCCCAGGAAGCGTGTGTGGGCTGCAGAAGCGTTCCCTGGTCTGGCCATTGGAGAGGTCTGGGGGCTCCAGGGCTCACTGGTGCTGATGGGATGACATGGAGGAGTCTGGAAAAATGCAGTTTGCAATTACTAAGGCTTTGTTCCTGAGTGCTGCCACTTCTGCTGCCTTCTGTTTTTTTGAACTGGACATCCATATTGGATGATGTTTTCTTTGCCTTAAACATTAAAAAAAGAAAAAAGTAAAGAATGACCGTTTTGAATTTTGCTGTTTCTTTGGGTATCTTTATGCTGCAGAAAAAAGGTAGAAGAGAATGGCATTCAAATGCTAGAAGGGAAGGTATTTTACACAGACCCATGTTGCACAGAGCCTGTTCCTACCTTTGGGGTTAGGTTTACCGATTTCCAGTACAAGCCCAGCTGTCAGCCCAAAATTTAAGTGCAAAACCAAAGCACCCAACCTTCTTTTACGTTCAGGGCTTCTTGTTTGATGTCTTCCGTGAGAGGGGCAGAGGAGCTGATGTGCTCTCGGCTCTGGCATCTCTTGAGCCCATGTTCCCCATCTTTTTTCTCACTGCAGGTGACCGAAGTGTGCTTCAGTCCCGATGAGACGCACTGCGCAACGTGCGGGGAAGACGGCAGTGTGAGGATCTGGTCTCTGGGCAGCACGGAGCTGGTGGTGCAGTTCCAGGTGCTCAACCAGGTAATTACTGGTGGTATGTCCATCTCCTCCTCTTGGCAGAGGGCACAGTCCTCTGCTTGGGATTGCGAGGACTGCTGTGTCCTCGTGGAGCAGATTAAAGCTGGAGAAATACTTGCAGGTGAAGCTTTTAGAGCACTTGATTGCACAGTGCTGCTCTCTTCACTGTGCCATCGGGTCTCTCCTTTGCAGAGCTGCCAGTGCCTGGCCTGGAAGCCTTGTCCCGCCACTGCATGGGGAGCTGAGAGCCAGCACGTCGTGGCGGGGTACAGCGATGGGACCATCCGCCTGTTCAGCGTTTCCAGGACAGAGATGGAGCTGAAAATGCACCCCCATGCTGCCGCAGTGACAGCGATTGCCTACTCCACAGATGGTGAGGAGATGCTGCCGTGGGGAGCGTGGCGTGGCTGTGCCGGGGTTGCCCTGACCACCAGCCACTCTGTGTCCTGGTGACCTGCCCCAAAACCTGGGGCCAGGGAGAGCCAGAGAACTTAGGTCAATGAGCTTTGGTGGCTGCCAGCTGAGCTGGTGGTAAATGGGACATGGGAGGTGTGCTGGCAATGATATAGCTGAGGGGTTTGGGTACAACCAACACTCCTGTGTGTCCTCCTACTTAACATTTACAGCGGCTCTTCTTCAGTGTGGTGTTTCAGCGGGTGTCTCCAAGACATCTCACCTTCCCCAGCCCTTGACTCACATGTTCCCAGCCTTTCACGGTGTTTTGGGACATCACTGTCCCATGATCTTGGACCTTTCTCCTTTGGGCTTTTTCTTCTCCTCTGAGAGGTGTCCCATTCTCCTCTCTCCTCTCCCGTAGGAGAAATGATCTTATCGGGAGGCAAGGATGGGCTTGTGGCTGTCAGCAGCCCTCGCACCGGGATGACTATCCGCGTCCTCGCTGACCACAAAGGCTCCCCCATCACCGTCCTCCAGTGCACCAGGAAGCAGGTGAGACCTCACCCTCAGCCCAGCGCTGGGTGGGACCCCGTCCCCTGTGTCCCGGCACAGCTCTGGGGAGCAGCAGCAGCGTGGGGCCGCCTTGGGCTGCGAGTTAGAGTCCCTTGCTTTTCCTCTTCAGGGCCCCATCCCCTCCAGTAAGTTCTGTTTAGTGTTTCGAGGGATGTCTTCAGCGGATAAAGGCACGCGCATTGCAGGTGCAGTCCTGAGTGAGGCTGTGCCTGTGGGCAGGTGTGATGTGTGGCCGCACCACAGGCTCCTGGAGAGCAGCACCCCTTGAGAGCAGCCCAGGTTGTGAGCTTTCAGCCCCTGTGCCCCCGAGAAAGGGCTCAGCATGCTTCCCCCATCACTCCTTGCAGCCTGGCCCCCTGTGGGGAGCTGGGTCTTTGTACGATTCCCCTGTGCAGCCGGGAAGGCTTGGTTGTGCAGCAGGGTGATGGTTTTAGCATCTCCTTCATCCTTCTCCTCATGGAGAGTTGCCTTCCTTTATGCAGTGGAAATGAGAATAATTTTTTGCCAAGTTCTCAGGCTCCACGCTGCAAGGCTGTGTTCCCTGGTGATTCCAGGCTGAGGAGATCCTCCTCAGTTTTAGGTGAAGGATGTTGTTAGGGGACACGTGGTGTGTGCAAGCACTCCCCTGGGAGATGTGCAGATCTGGAGGGCGTCCCGGGGAGGAGATCTGTGTCGTCAAGGCCAGGCGCCTGCCTCTCCTCCAGCAGGCTCTTCTGCCAGGGCTTTCAATCCGGAGTGTGCTGCTGGTTCCAATGCCACGGCTTCCTCGTCCTGTTTTATTCTAAGTGACTAAGCACTGCCCAAATGGAGGTTAATCCTGGTGTTGATCCCCTACAGCCTGTGTTCCCAGGAGCTCCTGCCCCACACTAGCTCCAGTGGCAGCTTTCCTTAAACCTTCGGTACCACCGGAGTCACAGCGTGGCTTTTCTCTTCCGTAGTACCACGACTTTGGGGTGGAAGGAGGTGAGCTCTGGCTGGCCACCAGCTCAGACCGGCGGGTCAGCATCTGGGCCTCCGACTGGCTGAAGGATAAGTGCGAGCTCCTCGACTGGCTCAGCTTCCCGGCTCCAGCCAGCCCCGAGGTGAGCCCCTGCCAGCTCCTGGGCTGGGTCTCAGCACCAGCCGAGCTGGAGGAGGGATGCCTCAGGGCTCTGAGCGGGATGGGATGAAAGAGAGTGTGTGCTCCTAGAGAATCTTGTTAATGCACCTTCTCGCGTGTCGACAGGCAGCGGGAATTGTGGCAGCGCCTAACCACGCGCCGCCCTGGCTTTGTAAGCGTGAGCAATCAAAAACTGCATCTGCAGAGAGCTGACACCCCGGTGCTACGCAAAACAGAGCACAGGCAGCAGTGAGCGCAGCGAGACACCTAATTATGAGTATGCTGCTAACTTTGGTGCTCCCAAAGGCCGTGAATATTCAGAGCCCAGCGCTGGGTTCATAAGGCAATACTCAGCCCTGTGTGTCTGTGGGGCTTTGCAGAACCCGTTGGCTCTGACCCAGGTGTGAGATTTGGGCAGCAGGATGCTGGCTAGAACGGGAGGAGGGTCTGTGCCGGGCAGGATGTGGAGACGGTCCTCAGTGCATGTGCCATTGGCAGGCAGAGGGAGCTGGGTCTTTTTGGGGGGCAAGCGGTGGTGCCTCAGCCTGCCACCCTCGGGGCCAAGCACTATCCGGGCCCCTCCAGCAGCTGGGTTCTGTCAACATTTCTTCTGTTTCCAAAACGATGGATTTCCTCTTCATGAAGGAAACTCCCTACAGGCCTCCCCACAGTGAACAGGGGAAGAATAGATCCACTACTAAAGATCTGTCTCCTGGGCCTTATTTTTGTATGTTAAACCAATGCATAATGCAATCCCACCTTCAAGCCCACGTAGCAGTAACACCTTGGTGGAAATTCAACCTGTTGGACCCTCCTCCTGTGACAGTAAACAATTTGCTTCAGGTTTCCATGGCAGTGTGTGGCTCCTTGCTTTGCTGTGAGCACATCTGAGCCAATGCAAGAGGGAGCAAACAGCCTCCATCACACTAATTTCTTATTGCTCAGACACCCGCAACCCAAGGGCTGGTGTCCCTCCGGGCTCTCCTTTTGTCCTCCACTGCATTGAGCTGCAATGGAGAAGCCAGCCTTAATTTTGTCCCCCTTGGTTTCCCTCCCCAGGGTCTCGGCAGCCTCCCGCCCAGCCTGGCCGCGTTCTGCCCCTGGGAGCCCGGCACCCTGGTCTACGTCGGCTTTGGGATGCAGAAGGAAGCGTTGTTCTACAGCCTGCGCAAGAAACAGGTACTCGTACCCTGCCGGGTGGCACGGGCCCTCTTCTGTGCGAGGAGGTCAAACGAGGAGCAGGGGGGTGTGGAAAGCCAAGGCTGGAGGTGTGGGGTGGGCTCAGGCAAGCGGCTGCTCAGGGCAACAGCTTCTCGTCTCGGAAAGTTCTGAGTCTGGTCCAGGTGAGCAGCAGGGTCCTGCCCCTGCCTTGGGCTCTGTCCAGGCACGCTGCCAGTCCCTGCTGCTGCCCTGCTGCCTTTCCATCCGGCTGGAGGGAAAGGCGTTTGCTTTCAGGAGCACTAACGGTCTCTAAATCATTGAGTCGAGTCTCCTCTGGAAAGTCGATGCCTTTGGCAGGTTTCCGAGCCCTGAGGGGTGCTGCACGTCTGTCAGTCCCCCGTGGAGAGGAGCCCTTCACCCTCCTCGTGCCTGTCACTGCAGCAGCCCTGCTCTCCCGCCTTCTCCTGCCTGAGGTGTTGGTGTGTTTCTCTTGCTGGAGCACAGGTGGTTGAGAAGATCTCCTTGCCGTACTTCGCCACATCGCTCAGCCTGTCTCCTGCAGCGCGCTTCATGGCTGTTGGCTTTGGTGGTGAGTGCTGGAGGGTGCTGTGGGCTCTGCCGCCCAGGCTGCCTTGTGCCCAGGTCACCTTCGGGGGGGAGGGATCTCCCCTTCTTCCTGAGAGTGGGGGGAAACCTAGTGCTCTTTCTCCTTTAAACCCTTTGCTTTTTCCTTTCGGTGGGAGCTACGGTTCTGGGACTGCGGGCAGAGTATGTGTCAGGCAAGGAGTAAGCTCTGGCAGACTCCCAGGGTCAGAAACAAGAGGCATGCCCTCAGTCCTGTTTGTCAGGGCGCAGGATCTGTCACTCCAATGCATTATTGGTGTTACGGGCTGTCTTCATCTCTGTGGCTGTGTGAGCTACAGCCGGGG